CCGGATCAGGGTGGAGCTGGGAACACCAGCAATTAAGAGGTGGTTTCACATTTCTCAAAACCTCCTGATCAGAGGACTTGTTCTTGGACATTATCTTACCCAGGACGCGGATGAGTTTATCGTCATACCCATGACGGCACACGAGCAGTGGATTAATTGTTTTTCTATGACAGGCGTATTAAAAATGGAGTTATTCTGTTTCACTTGCTGCAATGATGAAGCGCCACATTAGCAGTAGGTGATAAATTACCTTAACAGTTTCCACTTTTCGGCAAAACCGCTTAGAATCCTCTGGCCACCATATTTGACCATAAACGAAATCAAAGTAATAATTCGCGATGGCCTGCGAAATTAATTTGGTAACTATCGCTTTAGAGATATGTTTTGGTGTCTTTTCCTTTCAGGTGGCTTCGGTGATTGAGTTGATTTCCCTAATAGCAGAGTGGACGTTGGCAACAGCCTATATCTGGAGCTACAAGATCTTTTCAGTATCATCCCAAACTAACAAGTGAATATTTATGTTTTTACAGCTCTTCATTGTATTTGGATTTAATAATTTATTATCAACTTTGGGAACAAGTAATTTACTAAGCGTAGCTTAGATGTGGCACAAGGACGCAAGTATGGAGTATTCAGTGAAGATCGAACTCAGTAGTAATTGATCTAGCGAGACAAGATTGATAACCATTAGAAATTAAACCCTTGAGATTAATATTATTAATGATTTTTCACTCCACTCTTTATCTTTGCGTTTGGGTATGGGTGTATGTGTGTACCTAATTCTGTATGTGTATGTGTGTGTGTGTGAGTGTGTGTGTGTGTGTGTGTGTGTGTGTGCACGCGAAGTGATAGGAAGTAAGCGTATATGTTCTGAAGGACAAATTCGATTGTTTTGGTTTGTTTTTGTTTTGTTTTACAGCATATCAACACCTCAATGGGTTATTTAATGCTGACAAGATTTTTATTGCTGCTGATATTTTTGTTTAAAAATATATTGCTGTGTTTTGTTTTTAGAAATATATTGTTGGCAATATTTTGTTTTTCAAAATATATTGCACGTAATATTTTTTTGTTAGTAATTTTTTTCAGAAAATCTATTGCTGGTAATAATTTCAGCATCTGTCTATATTTCTGAGATGATGTATTATGTATACTATTTACATTGATCGTTTCGGCCATTGTATGCTCCGGCCTTCTTCAGGTGGTTGGAAAGTCGCTCACTGGAGTAGACTGTTCTAATTCCACGTGCCATGTTTAATGGATGCCAGTTATCTGGTAATCTTCTGTTAATCCCCTTCTCCAAGTTCTCCCACCGGTTTAACCAGGTATTGAACTCACACTCTTTGGGTCCTGTCACTGGAACTAACTAATGACTTTATCCATTGTGCCATGTGTCCTTGAAGACATCTGAGTATGAATTTCTGGGTATTATAAACCTAATGTCTTCAGCAACCATTTTTACCAGTGCTCATATTGCAATTTTTGCTGTTATCATTCATTTTTTATTACCAAAGCTCATATTGCAATTTTCTTTGTTATTATTACTTTTCACTGGCACTACTTATTACTAGTTCCCATATTGTATTCATTTCTATGTTTGGTCGGCTCAGGAGAAATTTTTAGCTTTGTATATGTGCTGATTCTTTAAGTTTACGAATTTTCCAATGATTTCAACCGGATCCCACAGAGGTCGGTGATTTCCTTTTTCTCTCCATATGTACTCAGCCACGCCTGATTTTTCCATTTCCCCTTGTGTTACAGCTTTTTGGTGTTCTTGAAACCTTACCTTAGGGGGGCGGCCTCTTTCCCGTTTATATTTCTTTCCGCAGCTGCACGGAATAGCGTACACACAGTTTTTAGTCATGTTATCCTCTAGGGAGGGGGGTTTTACTCGGGAGAGGTATCTGCGAAGTGTCTGCCAGTTTTTGAAGGTTGTCATGATGTTATATGGACCGCAGATCCTTTGTATTTTCTCTGATAACCTCTTCACATAAGGCAGGCAGGCTGTTTTCTGAGTGTTGTCCTCCTCTTGTACCCGCCTATCCCAGTTTATTGGGACTGGTGCCATGTAGCCAGGGTAGTTGTTACGTTGTAGGGTACTGCTTATACTAACCAATTCTTTATCTAATATCTCTGGGTCACCGACTTTTGCACAGTGTTGTAATCCCTTTTTTTAAGAAGAAGGCCGCAGCGTACAATGACCGAAACATTTGCTAAATATGGCGACAAAAATGAGGATGATAGTGCGAACAATGTAAGCAGTGATAATAATTTTTTCTTCAAGAATTCATTGCTGGCATTCAAACCTATTTTTACATTTTCATAGCGTTTTGATCCCAGTTTGGGGTTAACTATTTGCCCATAACTAGGACCCTTACAAGATGAACCTGGGAAGTCCAGCAATTAAGAGGTGGTTCCACGCTCCTCAAAACCTCAGAGGCCTTGCTGTCGAATTTAGTTTGTCGTCTTACCCAGGACACTGACAAACTCGACCTTCAAATGCTATAACATTGCACGTATTAAAATTAACTCCTCCATTTGTAACTAAAGGAAAAAGTTGTTTGGTTGTTTCTGTCTAGCGGCATATCAACCCCTCTATGGATGGTTGAATGCCGAAATTTAAATATTTTGTACTTAAATTTATTTTGGAGATAATATGATTTATTGATGTAGGTCTAACTAATTAACCTATACACAGGAAGAAGCGGTGGATTCATACCTTTCACAAGGGTATTTTTAGGCGTAAGTGAATATAACGAATTCAAACAGGAATTGGAACTCGGCTCTCCGATTAACAATTCCGGGTCATTAATCGACGTTATACACAGTGTTACTTTGGAACGATCCAGTCAATTACACGTAAGGTTTGAGAAAACAGTGTTTATCTTGATCCGTTATACGTTGCGTTCCTTTTGAGCCATCCAGTCAATTACACGTAACGCTTGAGCAAACAATGTTCATCTTGATTCACATTACGCTGCATTTCTTTTGAGCAATCTAGACAATTACACGTAAGGCTTGAGCAAGCAGTGTCCATTTGGATCCTATATACGCCGTGTCGCTTTTGACCGATCCTGTCAATTACATTTAAGGCTTGATAAAGCAGTATTCATCTTGATCCGATATACACTGCATTGCTTTTTGAGCGATCCTGTCAAATACACGTAACGCTTGAATAAACAGAGTTTATCTTGATCCGTTATACGCTGCATTGCTTTTGAACGAGTTCATTACACGTTAATCTTGAGCAAACAGTATTCATGTTGATCCGTTATACGCTTCGTTGTTTTCCAGCAATCCTGACAATTACATGTAAGGCACAAGCAGACAGTATCTTGAACCGTTATACGTTGCGTTGCTTTTGAGCGATCCAGTCAATTAGACGTAACGCTTGAGCAGTGTTCACCTTGACCCGTTATACGTTGCGTTTGTTTTGAACTATGCAGTCGATTACACTTATCGCTAGAGCAAACAGTATATAGTCTCGTCTTTTAACGAAAATTGAACTGGCTTCTCAATAGTCAGGTGTCAATCTTTGATATGAGAGATTAATAAAAACATAATACTGAAAATGTTTCAGTTAAAGTAACTCTCTACTTCGTAGATAAACAAAAATGGTGGTGAGAATCAAAAAAAGATTGATTAGCTGAATCATTACCCACCAATCCTTCAATGGCTAATCTCTATTACCAATTTTAATCTGTTTATTCGGACGACCGATTGTTTTGATAAATAGCATCAATAATGATCGTCATTTTAAATAAATAAATAAACGGAACTGCTGTAAATATCAAGTGTATGTCATTATTTAAAAAATGATTTAATCTATTCCTCTGAAATCGATCTATGGGTGGTTATTATTTAATATCCGGGATATACCAAGTTGTTGAGTTGAATGTATAAGTGAAAATCTTCAAAGATTAAAATACTCGAAGGCATCACAAAATTCTTCCCTGAAATAGCTTATCTTCGGCGAATTTGGTTTTAGAACACGGTCAGGGTCCGGGATATCATTGATCATTCAATATGCTGCTTTGATCTGCAACTCTGGTGTTCTTCCTTGCATGACTTATTCCATATGATGCTTACATTTCGTAAATGGTAAAAGCGTAATTAATTCCAGCTGTGTAGCAGTTCTTTGACTTCTTGCAAGAAACTTATTTTTTCCAGCTAGAACCAGAAATTGCAATAATTGAAACATGTGAAGGTCCGAATATTATGTCAGTGTTTTCGGTAGAGTTTTCAGAAGAATGTTTCAAGCTTCAATTGTTCAGAAATGTGTGTATTTATCAGAAGTGGATATTGTGTTTTGTAATAATCAGAACTGTTTAAAATGGTCACCAGGAGCATGTACAGTATATAGTTTAATAAACATTTCTTGGACGTAATTAATTCAATAGTTTGAATTTGAGATCATATGAGGGAGTGGTATGTACGACCATTTATGAAAAATGCAACCATTCACCTATCATACCGTCCTGGGTAAGACGATAAACGACATCCAACAGAAAGGTGATATTGAGGAGCATAGAACAATCTCTTAATTGCTGGTATTCTCAGGTTCACCCTGATCCGGCCTGGTAGGGCCTGTTAGGGTCTCAGCTATGGGAAAATAATTGATACTCAAACTGTAGTCAAAACACTATGAAAGTGTAAAAATAGGTTTTAATATAAGCAATACGTTTTTGCAAAAGTTTATTACGAGCAATGAACTTTTGAAGATAAAATTATTACCAGCAATACATTTTTGAAGAAGAATCTGATTGTATCTGAATCTTGTCGGCATTAAATAACCCATTGAGGTTGATATGCCGTAAAACAAAAAAAAAAAAAAACAAAAAAAACAAACCAAATCACTTATCATATAAAATATAAGACATGAACCATAATTTTACTTATTTATTATCTGTTAAAGTAAATAAATATTTCAAGCTGAATTTACAGGAAAATAAGAAATTAATTATAATCTGGGGAAGAACTTCGTGAAATGGAGAAAGATATTACAGATATAGAGCAAAGAAAATAAGAAAAATAAAATTCTTAAGGGCATAGAAGGGTTGGTTTGTGACAATGAAGAAAAAAGGAACTTTGTTTGGTGGGGGGGAAACAAAGAGCAAAAAGAGGGAAAGAAGAAACAAGTGAAAAACAGATGAAAAGGAAATGAATAAAAATAAAGAAGAAAAAGAAAGATAAAAAAAAGAGATAAAGTCGAAGATGTTTGAAGAAAAAGTCAAATCGTACACCAAGAAATAAAATGAAAAACAGCGAAAAAAGAAGAAAGATTTGACGGATAAACTTTAAAAGGAAGGAATAAAGTAAAATAAAAAATGAACTTGTTACATCGGTCAGTGTTATGAATAATCAAGAGTGGCCTCCCCTTGTTTTGTTACTTTCCTCTTTGAGAGCGCTATTTCCGTTTACTGGGACTCTAAAAGGACACTATACGCGAATCTCAGTTGAATAAAGATTTCTTAAAGCCTAAACCTGCATACTTTTGTCATTACAATCAGATAAAAAAGGGTTAAGTAAATAAACACATAAAAATAGAGAGAGAGAGAAAAAAAGAGGAAATACATAATAAATAGAAATACATAATAGAAGATGCAAATAATAAAAAGCAAAGAAACAATGAAACCAGAAGCAAAAAGTGTGCAGAGACAAAAGAGAAAGAAGAAGAAAAGAAAGAAGAATGAAAAGAAGAAGAAAAAGGACATTCAAAAAAAAAAAAAAAAATTGATGAGGAGGAGGTGACGCAAAAGAAGAGAAAGAGAAGTAAAGGTAGAATATACAGAGAGGAAAGAGAGAGGAGAATTTAGTGAAGAAGGATAAGATAGAACAAGGAAAAAAAAAGAAGGAAAAGTCATACATCAAAGTAAGAAAATGTCCGTAATGAGATTTCCTCATTTTATCCAAGGACAGAAAAAGTAAAACGTTATTCATCTCCGTTCTTCGGACATTGATGAGTTGCTGACAGGTGCTTGTTGGCCAAATGTTAAGCACAAAATGTTCTTCACCATTTTCGCTCGCCAACTATTTTCAGCAAAGATGGGTGCACATTTCTTGCAACGTTTGTTTTATCGGATTTCAGTTGAATTTTTTCATGACACATGATTGGCGCTGGGATAATTTTGATCTTTTTTCGTCGTTCTTTAAAGAGTGTGGGATGAAGAAACAGAACAGAAAATACAAGCGATACCTGTGGGTATCACAGAATTTAACCATGGTTTTAATCAAAACTTCTTAGAAGAATTAATAATAGCTTCTAGTCTTTTGTTAAAAAAGAGAAAATAAAAAAAAGAGATTATTGATTGATTTGCTTTTTACGGTTTACCAACCTTTGCAGTTTATTTAAAGCAGAAACATTCTTGGATTCTAACAATAATTAATAATTCCTTTTTTACGAGTGAATATTATATTACCATTTTTTAAAAAATAATGATGAATTTCAGTCACAAGTCATATTGTTTTACCCATAGATGGAAAAATTGGATTCATGCCTTTCCCAAGGGTAATTATGTGAATGTAACGAACTCGACTAGAATTCGAACTTGGCTCTCCGATTTCTTATATCGAACTGCCATCTATTATATCACCCCTACATCCAAAGTTACAGCAACTGGTATTCCCAACCGGTCACCCATCTAAGTACCGACCAGACTCGACGTTGCTTAACTTGGTCTGGCAAGAAACGGTGTTTCAACGTGATATGACCGTAAGCCAATAAAAAAGAGAACGGTGGTGATTTTCTGAGCGTTAGGCTGAAAGTATTGAACTCACTACTCAGTCGTAATTGTTCTAGCGAAACAATCTTGCTAAGCATGACACCACGTCGAAATGCCTAGAAATGATTTTCTAAGCGTAGCTTAGATGTGGCACAAGGCCGAAAGTATGGAGTACCCAGTGAGGAACGAACTCAGAAAGTGTATAAAAATAGAAAATAAGCAATAAAGCCAGTGAAATTTAAATATGTAGACAGTAAACAGAAAGTGTGTGTGTGTGTGTGCGCGCGCGCGCGTGTGTTTGTGTGTGTCAGAGAGAGAGAGAGAGAGGGGGGGGGAATAAGGCATAAGAGGAGTAAAAATGATGGAAAATATGAAGAAATACATATAAAGAAATACGGAAATGCACAAAAAACTACAGATGGATCCACGATCATATGAAAACTATCAGTCTTTCAGCAACCCCCCCCCCCAAAAAAAAAAACATCTTGGATGGTAAGTGGCAGATGTTGAACCTGCTTTTGCCGGATATGCATGTGTCGAAAACCCTATCAGTATCAGTTTTGGGGCTTGCGTAGCACTGACACCCAAAGTTAGAACGCTTTCACACCGTGTCGAGTGGACGCTAAAATTAGCGCTCTATGTATGGCTTCGAGAAGACATCTCACTCATTGTTTAGCTCATCAACAGAGTAAATTCAACCGTTCCTTTATTTTGTACAGATAATATCATAAGAACAGTTGGTACTTTTCAGTCAACCACATATAAATTAATGCAAGACAAGAGTTATGCAATTTTAAACGCTTAAATAGATTTTGTTTTAGTAATGAATATTAATCTTAAAAATTTAACTATTCTGTACTAATGGCTACAATCTTCCCATTGGCAAAATATTAAAAATACTTGTACACAAGCAATAGTGCGCAACAAAAGGCAAGTTGGTAAATCGCGTTCACTTTTGTGAGCGATATAGTAAATCGGATGTATTTGAACAGATTTAGCTTGATATAAAGACATTTATATCGCCACACTAAGGGTGCTTCAATAAGGTGTAATGGTTAACAAGCTTGTTTCGCTAGATCAGTTACGACTAAGAAATGAGTTTGTTTTTCACTGGGTGCTCCATATTTTCGGCCTTGTTCCACATTTAACTTGCCATTAGAAAATCCTTTTGGTCACTTCGGCGTGGTGTAATGTTTAGTAAACTTGTCTCGCTAAATCAATTACGACTGAATAGTGAGTTCGATCCTTAGTGGGTGCCCCATATTTTCGGCCTTGTGCCATATATAAGCTACACTTAGAATATCACCATTCGTCCTCAGAAATAAATTATTTCTTGGTGACATGTTTGTTTCCTAGGTTTTAATTTTAAATCACAGTATAATTGTCGAAAAAATGTCGTCGTGTAACTGAAAAAGTGCCGAACATTTCTTGAATTTGTACTTTCTTTTAGAAACTATCCTCGAAGATTCTTCACACTAAAACTTCTTATTTTATTCCATTCTCTTGTTTGGCTATTTTCTCAACCAATTCGCTTGTATTTTTTGTTTGTCAACACAAGACGCATTCTGAACAAACCTAACGCAAAAGGTTCATGGAATAATATTGGAACTTCATCCATGTTTCCTGTTTGTCTCAGAATTTTTCGACATACTAAACTTTTAATATTTGCGCAAATAATTGGGTTTTTCTGTTACGCTATGCGGGGGGTGTAATGGACATTAATCCGAAAAATGAAATGGACGAACCGAGTTCAAATTCTTGCTAAATGTGTTGCGTTTGCTCTAGCCCAAATTCTTTTCGGAAAGGCAAGGATATATCTTTTCTTTTGATTCCAGATCAGGATATAATGTGCTCTCTAAACTTAGCTGGCTGCCAGTATACGAAAAGGACTACTCTGAATTTAAAACCCCGGAAAAGGCAGCGATAAATTCCTCGACTTCCCCAAGAAGCCATAGTAACTGACGGTTTAAAAAGAAGGGACATTAATTATTGAACTTAGTTTCATTTAGCACAAGATGACCTTAGTAGATGACTCGATGACATTCGATCTCGTTGCACTTTTGCTAATTGTCGTGCGAGAACAACTTGCTAATTGTCGTGCGAGAACAACTTGCTAATTAGCAAGCTACAATGCTAATCTTTTCGTTCGACTGTAAAAGTAACAAACTTTCCTTGCCAAGAAGCAATCTCAATCTTGAGATACATAATACAAACAATATATGTTTTAAGAAAACATTTGGTACAATGATTAATGATTGATGTTGACCTTGAAATCACACGTGTGATCAATTTGAAAATATCGAATCTTGTTGTGAAATTCATTTCTTTCATTTTTTAATGACATCGTCTCTTTTGAAACAATTTATGTGTGCGAAGATTTCAGATTTTACGAAGTGTGTTGAGAAGAGAAACTTTCAGCACATGTTCTTATAAAAATATTGTACCATCTTAAAATCGATCTGGAATATTTCTAATATATTATGATAGCTTACTGCAGTATAGGTTGACTTTAATATCTTTCTATAATTCTAAGATGAGGTATGATTATTTACATTATTCAAATTATTCGGACTGTTATCCTTATCTTCATTGTCATATTCACAACATTTCGGTCGTTGTACGCTCCGGCCTTCTTCAGGTGATTTGAATTTCGAACCGAACCTTTTATTTCACTGGTATATTGTTCTAGTTCCACATGCCATGCCTTTTACGGATGTCTCGGTTATTTCCCTTTAACTCTACTCTTCAACTTTTGGTTCACCACTGCTGTTGCCTGGTATTGAACTCATAACTCTTTGGGTTTAGTCACTAGATCTAACCAACGTATTTATCCACTGTGACATGTATCCTTGGCGTTAAAATACCAGAAAACATTAAGTTAATTCCTCACTGAGCACTCCAGGAAAATGGCATTGTGCAATGCCAAAACTTACGCGAAACTGAAAATAAACACTACGCAAGATTTCGGGCACTTAACTACCACACAGGAACAGCAAACAATAGTAGTGTGGAAATACAAGAGAGAGTTCCTTAGCCAGCGGGAGATGTTCACGTACATAAATTCCAAGGCCATGTATGTGGACATTAGATTCCTTCGTAAACAGAGGAAGATAGCCAGGAATCGTGAAATCAGAAGAGGAGGTTAAAGTTAAGATTAGTTTCGCAGAAAGCTAAGATCTCCGGAGACTTTTCCAAGAGGAACGATTCCACACTGCAAAAGTTGGTACGAATACCACGAATGTTGGAGAAAGAAAGCTTAAGGGGTTTAGGTGATTTTTGCAGAGCTGGTTTAGATTTATACCTATGGTATATTATCGTCATGGTGTGTTTTGGTAAGGAAAGGCCTAGGTTAGTAGTAGCAGTCGGTCGTCTAATGTAACATATGCAGGAAGTGAACTGGCGCCGACTGCAAGACAGTGTGGCCTCGGGGTTGCCCACCGGAGGTACTTGCAGCGACACAGTTCTATGCATGACATGGTAATGCAAGAACCCTGATATTATGCGACCGTTGATCAGATCAGCCTTTCATGATGCTACGCAAGATTTTGGGCCCCTAACAGCAACCAGAAAACTGCCAACCCAGTGCCCTCAGTATGAAGAGATGTTGTCACCATCCTCACATATCACAAAAATAACAGCACTAGTATTATTGGATGAGAAAAGTTAAGGAATCGGGAAGCCCTTCCTAAACAGGAAAAACTGTTCAAAAGAAGGTGAAGAAGTATAGATCGGGCGATAGGAAAGCCTATATACTCTTATTAAAGATAAAACAAAAACGAAAAAAAAACAACAACAAAAAACAAACAAAACAAGCGAAACAAATAAAAAATACAAAAAAAAAAAAAAAAAAAAAAAAAAAAAACAAAAAAACAAACCTGGCTCTGATTTCCAATTATTTCGAGGAATGAACATCCATATAATTAATTTGGAGAAGCAATCAGCGGGCATAGAAATTTGACCATGCGATGTTTAACTGACATTCTAGTTTATTATGAGGGAGAAGAGTTAATAGGAATAGAGTAACAAAATTGGTAAATCTCACACTTCTCCCTGGTCAGTGTCGTAGTGTAGCAGTAAGCTTGACACTTTAAGAACAGAAAAGATTGACATTGTTTTCAGTGATATCCATGCAATACAGACGCATGC